AAAACCAAACTGGAGTTTTGAAAATATTATTTAAAAATATTACTGTTCTATCATATATCAGCTTTTCTAAACAATTTGAAAAAAGATGTCAATAATGAAATGAGTCTATAATTACATAACGTTTGAGGATCACCCTTAACAAAAAATGGCACTACCTCATGGAAATACATGCCTACACCGCCCTGTCTTTTGTGAGTACAGTTGTTGGAAATAAAAGCCTAATTATTAATATTTAAAAATACACTATCGTTCTCTTTTAACCAAGTTTCTGTTAATCCTATAATGGAAATTTAGAGTCAAAACAATTTTAAATCATATTCATGCTATCAACATTTTTCTTAAGGCTTCTACAATTACAATTTTCTACAGATAATTGCTTATTATCATTACAAGTGTGCTTATTGAATTCGTCAGGAGTCACATACGGGTAATCAAATGGTAATCTATCTAATACGGTATCCATGTATAATTATAGAAATACTGGAATGCCAAAACTGATGAAATATATGTTCTATCATCATCCATGTATATGCAAGTCTGTGCAAGAAACATAATAGAAAAATGAAGGGACATAGTTAGAAGGTTCACAATACAATGTACAACAATAACTACAAAAATATAGCAATATACAATTTTAAAAATCAAAATTGGAAGAAAAAAAAGGTCAGGGTTTTTGTGATGTTTGAAAAGAATCACACAATATGGATTACTCTTTCTTAATCCATTCATGATATAATGTGTTGTCATTCATTAATTTTCTCTAGCTCTTTCCTTTGCCGTTTGTATTCTTATTTCACCCCTACAATGTTTACCGTGGAGAGAAACATGAATTGAAATACATTAGTAAACTGGCATATTCATTGATATAATTATAATTATAATCGCATAATCATCATGTTCATCATTCTTATCATTATCACCTATATCAACAAGATTTTTAAATCAGCATGATTACTAGCATTATCCTTATTTTTTCAGGCATCAATGTCATCTCTAGTATCATCCTTATAATCATCGTCATCTTCCCTATCACCATCATCATGATCATCAATGTATACTGCAACATCAATTCGTCTCATATACATGTTTATATATGATTCTACTCTCCTTGAAAGATGTTTATAGTCTTCCAGTTAAGCGGATTAAATAAAAGATCACCTATTTAGTTTCAATGACTAATTTAATTTCTCGTTTTATTGTTTTCTTTTGTTTTCTTCTGTCGTTGAATTAACTGCCATTCACCGCCATCGCAATCACCAACACCACCATAAACATTAGCTTTAACATCGTCACCATCATCATCACCATTATTACCATCACCACAATTGAAATATCACCACCACCTTCATCACCACCACATGACGTGTATAGACTGTATTTGTTTTAAATGATTATATATAGTAGCCAGACTGGTATTACCTTCTGCATATAGGCCTACTACTAGATATAACACATGCATTTCATTTAAATCTAGTTACAATTAGTTTTGAAATTGTAATCATTCTACTCTCAAAAAAATAGGCCAGGATTAATGATATGCCGGAGACGCCAACTTAGAATCTTTACAAGAATCATGGCACCCCCAAACTTATGACAATATATATTCTTTTTTTTGTACATGATTATTTAAAGAAGACTGATATTACCATCGGCATACTTATAGAAAGGACACCTGCATTTATTTTAAGTGTATGCTTACAATACGTGCAGGGGACCTTCTCAAAGTATTAAAGCGATACTGAGCTGATGATCTTTCCGCCCCAGCACAGCGCCAACTCATGGTCAACTTTCCAACAGTGCGTAACCTAACATCCAATTCACGCAGACGGAGGACTCGATGCGAGAACCAAGCGCGTAGGATATCAGCGAGTTACGGGACCATACTGTATGGCTTTAGAGTGCAATTTCGCTTTGGCTATATACTGTAATGACACATATACATTCAAACTCCCTCTTTCGTTTTTATACTTTTATAACTTCATATAAAGCTCCTGCTATACAGTCAAACTTGTCTCTGTGGCCACCTCTCCATTAAAGGCCCCCGGTCTGTTATGTAGTGGCTATGTATTTTGTCTCCCTTCAGAAAGAAAAGTGTGCGGTAGAAGCTGTCTGCAGCTAGTGGCCATTTTTTTTTAAAGTTTCCGTTCAGTGACCTTTGTAGACAGGTTTGACAGTACGTAAAACTCGTTCTGTGTCCTACTTCATGGAATCAATTTTAATTCGGCAACTCGTACTCCGGCTCAGTATTCCCATCGGCCACTCCCAAGATTGATTTCTTCACTCTAGCTGTTTGCTCCACTATTTGGGGACCCCACTGGAAATAAGCTTTCAAGCTTTCGTGGGTTATCCTGTTCAAACTGACTTAATTTTGATCTGTTATTCTTGTATATTGTTGTATATTGGAAGCTTGGCGAATAAAAATCAATCAATCAATCAATTCTTTCATTTCCATAATTATTCTACCCCCTCAATTGCATACATGTGGCCTGTTTTTCCGTGTCTAGTTTCTTTGATGTTCTCGTGGGCTGGTTGCATCTAAGGACGTGAAGGGATCTAGTTTCTGGCCCTCCCTGTCACTGACTGACTGCTTTAGAGCGATGTTAGAGCGTCTGAAATAAAGGGGAAAGGATTATGGTGAGGTATAGCATTGTATCCTCTGGGGATTAAGAGCGCTGTATAAATCAAATTATTGTTATAAGTATCATTATTATTGTTATCATCAACAGTAGTAGTAGTAGTAGTAGTAATATTATATTTATTTTATTATTATTAGAAGTAATATTTATTTCTCTATTTTTGAAGAGGATAACTCAAGATCAGTAAAGTCAATTTCTTTCAATTTTGGCAATTATTACTATCATAATTATTATCATCATTTCTAATATTATAATTATTATTATTTGTTATAACCATCATCGTTACCATCATCATTGACCATATTTATATGGATAGGGTTGGTCTAGTAGGCTGCAGTATAATTATGCGTGCCTATGAGCGTACATGTTTGCGTGTGTGTGTGTGTGTATGTGTGTGTGTGCGTGCGCGTGTGTGCGTGTGTGTGTGTGTGTGTGTGCGGAGGGGGAGCGAGTGGGGTATCTATAAGTGGCGGGGGAAATTGGGTAGGGGCGGGAGGAAGGTAAACTTGTTCTTACCTGAGATGCAGGTGCATCAATGTTATGAAAATAGCATACAAGGCAACAAAAGCAAGCACTATGCCCACAACGATAGTGCTGACCGCTTCTGGAGAAGAAGAAGAATAAAAAAAAAAAAAGATTATAGACGATATACAAGGCTGTACAAATTCGTAACGCACAAACATCATAATTTTGCATTAACCTTATAGACAGTAACCCCTTTGGAAACCTAGAATCATGTCATTTTTTAATTCACTCTTTAATATATGAACTTTGATCTTTATATTATTTTTCTTTCATCTCGTTTTATAGGCTAGAGGCCGATTCTAACCAGTTTTACTACTTCATCAACAATATTAATTCACAAAATGAAAAGTTTAATCATGAAAGCTACGAATAAAAAATTAAAAAAAATCACTTTTGAAAATAATCCATTATGATGATTGCTTGGTTATTGTTTAAGTGGTTCAATTTGTTTTAATGTACAATGTGGCTTTCCCATTTTGCCTATTGGAATTGAGGGAATGTGATGCAACACTTATTAAAATCATAATCAAATATGTCAGACTTTTTCTTTAGACTTTATTCATATTTAGGCTATAAACAACACGATAGAATACAAAGAGATGGCGAGACAAGAACCTTGACCACACACGTTTGTTTCGTCAGTGCTCTTGATAATGAGGTTCCATCTTATAGGCTTGAGAGATAAGCCTATTAGATTTGTCACTTGATATCCGTTAATTCCGATGACACGATTGATTTGATTTCAATGAAGTATACACACAATTAAGAAAGAATTACATTTTCTTTGGATTAGACCACTTCTCAGAAGCCCTTTGTGAAGGAAACCAGGTAATTGACTTACTTTACTAATTAAAAATAATACCACGAAAGACTTTCAAAAGATTTTAGGGAGAACTGCAAAGGGCTTTCAAGAAATCCATTTAGTAAAAGAAAACTTATATCCCTATTGTATCGCCTCTAGAAGTGTTTGGATAATGTAAAATGTCATAGTATTTTCCACTCATTTACTAAAAGGTGACGGACTTTCAAGACATTTGAAATTGCCTTATATGTAAATTATTTTCTCAAAAGTCTCTGCGATGGTGTTTAATATAGTGTACCTTTAGAATAATCACTCTCTTGGCGGTTTACTGTTGTTTCAGGAGAAACAGCCTCCTGCGTCAAAGTGGTTGGCGTAGTTTCTACTGTGTATAAGCAATTTATGGGAAAGAACAGAAAAAGGAGCAAAGCGCTTCATTATTAGGTGGTCTGTTGTCAACAGACCACCTATTGATTTCGTCAGAATTTTCTTTCTTTATTATTATTATTATTTATTTTTATTTCTTCCCGTTTTTTGTTTATCGGTTAACTCAAGATCGGTTGTGTTAATTTCTTTCAATTTTGACACAGTCATAGGTCATTGTCATGAGACGTGACAGGAACATTTTCAAGGTCATCAGGTCATCGTGACGTCATCCAGGCGCCATTTTGTGAAATCACGTTATCCATCATATCTTCATGATGCATAAGCAAAGGTCATTCATATTCATATCACATATACTTAAGGTCAAGGGTCAACAAGTCATGTCATCAAAGGTCACATAAAGGTCATGACGCGCGCGTATGTGCGCGTCAAATTTTAGAATTGCTCAAAATCACTTAACTACTAAAGGAGAGTACGAATCAGGTCATTTGAAGCATTTCAAAATTTTCCGTCCGTACTTGTCCCCGCGCGCGGTGCGCGCGCTCACAACGCGTGGAAAAGGTCAAATTCAATTTGTTTACTTGATTTAGATTCCTCTTACCGTAAATGACAATTTACATTAATTTCAGTCACTCTTAACCTTTCATAAGGCCGTGAGCGCGCGTCAAAGTTCAAATTCCGCGCGTGCTGCTATGGGCAATATAATGCAAATTTGATCAAAAACATGCTACTTTATAAATCGAAATAGCTCTTCAGATAGTCCGTCGACCCCCAATTTTTATATCATGGTTGGAAAGAGCATGAGTTGGAGATATGATTTCATACCACCCTGACTCGTACAAAGTGAAACAAAATCTTCATATTTGCATCTAAACTCAACAAAATGTATTTTGTTGATGACGTCATTTTTGTCTTTGTTTAATTGAGATTATCTCACTTATCGGTCATGGATCTTCTCCCAGATTTCAATATGTTGTAGCTGAGATAATTCTCTATCAGAAATAAGCCATTTATTTTTCATTTAGATGACGTCATTATAGTTAAATATTCGATTAAAGGCGACAATGCATAATTTGTCATATTTGCGTGTTATGTCTATGGGAGGTCACTTATTTCAAAACATGAATCTGCATGACAATGTGTTTTGACCAGTATCTCGGTTGTTATTCAACAGTTTTCTCCTAAATTTTAGTATGTTGTCGCTGAGACCATATGTTATCTAAATCACCCCTCATTTTTCCGATAAGATGTCAGAATCACGCTCATGACCATGATCATCATCATTATCATAATGATGATAATCATCCTCATCAACATCATCATGATCATCATCATAATCATCATTGTTTACATGTCGATATAACTTCTCCCTTTTTCAATATAGTAAATATTATAATCTATTATAAGACTTGAAGACAGACCACCTTATTCGTCTTCGTGACGAATTAAATTTCTAGTTTATTTTTATTTCTTCCCGTTTTTTGTGGTCAGGATAACTCAAGTTCGGTTATGTCAATTTGATTCAATTTTGGCACAGTCATAGGTCATTATCATGAGACGTGACAGGAACATTTTCAAGGTCATCAAGTCATCGTGACGTCATCCAGGCGCCATTTTGTGAAATCACGTTATCCATCATATCTTCATGATGCATCAGCAATGGTCATTCATATTCATATCACATATACTTTAGATCAAGGGTCAACAGGTCATGTCATCAAAGGTCACATAAAGGTCATAACGCGCGCGTACGTGTGCGTCAAAATTTGAAAAAGCTCAAAATCACTTAACTACTAAAGGAGAGTACGAATCAGGTCATTTTAAGCATTTCAAAATTTTCCGTCCGTACGTGTCCCCGCGCGCGTTGTGCGCGCTCACAGCGCGCGAAATAGATCAAATTCAAAATGTTTACATGATTTGGATTTCTCTTACCGTAATTGACAATTTACGTTAATTTCAGTCACTCTTGACCTTTCATAAGGCCGTGAGCGTGCGTCAAAGTTCAAAATCCGCGCGTACTGCTATGGGCAATATAATGCAAATTTGATCAAAAACATGCCATTTTAAAAATCGAAATAGCTCTTCAGATAGTCCATTGACCCCCAATTTTTATATCATGGTTGGAGAAAGCATGAGTTGGAGATATGATTTCATACCACCCTGACTCGTACAAAGTGAAATAAAGTCATCATATTGGCATTTAAACTCAAACAAATGCATTTTGTTGATGACGTCATTTTTGTCTTTGTTTATTTGAGATTATCTCACTTATCGGGAATCGATTTTCTCCCAGATTTTGATATGGTGTAGCTAAGATAATTCTCTATCAGAAATATGCCATTTATTTTTCATTTAGATGACGTCATCATAGTAAAATATTTGATTAAAAGCGACAATGCATAATTTGTCATATTTGCGTGTTATGTCTATGGGAGGTCACTTTTGTCAAAACATGAATCTGCATGACAATGTGTTGTGACCAGTATCTCGGTTATTATTCAACAGTTTTCTCCCAAATTTTAGTATGTTGTCGCTGAGACTATATGTTATCTAAATCATTCCTCATTTTTTCCGATAAGATGTCAGAATCACGCTCATACTCATCATCGTCATCATCATCATCATCAATATCATCATCATCATCATCATCATCAATGTCACCATCATCATCATCATCATGGTCTGAAGATGATCATCATCAACATCATCATGATCATGATCATTATGATCATCATCATTAACATCGTTTTTATCATCATATAACATTATCATTATCATCATCATCATCACCTTTACTATCATGATCATCACCATGTTCATCATGATCATCATTGTTTACATGTCTATATAACTTCTCCCATTCTCAAATCTATCATAAGACTTAGACAGACCACCTTATTCGTCTTCGTGACGAATTAAATTTCTAGTTGTTATTATTAGTACTATTAATATTTATATTGTTATTATTATGTTAATATTATTACTGTTATTATGATGTTAATATTATTACTGTTATTATCATTACAATCGTCACCTTCATCATCATAATGATAGTCACCATTATCTTTATTATCATTATACAGTATGAATACTGATGAGGCTACCCTGGGTAAACAAGACATATTATTATTATTATTATTATTATTATTATTATCATAAAGATAACATCAAGTAAACGGTCATCATAGAACATTATTCTACACAATGAAAAAGTTAAACTAAAAGAAGCATACACATTTCTAACACTTATTTCTTAAACTATTTGTGAGGACAGTCACGCTTGGTAGACAACGATCGATATATTAAAAATAAAAGATTTGAATGAACATTAACTCCTTTACCTTTTTTTCAAGCAGGGTATATTTAAGGGAATGGGATCGGCTATCAAACCATTAAACAGAATATGTGTCAAAAGATGACATTTAATATTGTATTTGTCATGTAATAAGACTAATTGTATGGTATGCAAAAGCGTAAGTATTATTGCAACCACATTTCACATCATAGAGAGAGAGATCATGTAATTTGTTTATGTTTCGGTTCATGATTATAACGTATTCATCATGTCATCCACATTTATATAAGTTCTGCCGCATATTTTCTAACTCAAATAGATATGATTTTAATGTTTTGCATGTAACATGTGTCTTCTGGAGGGATAGGAAATTCCAAAACAACGATAAGTTTCATCGGAAGGAAGAAGAAAACTTTCATCGGAAGGAGGAAGAAACTTCCCGTAAAGACTTTTGATATTTAGGTTAAAAAAGACGCACGTCAAACATCACATTCGCAGTGAGTCAGTTCTTGGGATTACCCCTGAAAAGGAAGCCTTATTCACATATAAGGTGAAGGGAAAGGATGAATGGAAAGAAAAGTAAACATCCTGCGGTCACACATATGAAAGAATAGTTTGCATTAATAAAGGTTTATTTAAACTAATTTATATGCGTGAATCATTAAGATCTCAGCCCAAAGGTGTCGATCAATTCCCGCTTTGCAACAATATGCACCTTGTCTTCTTTAGTGAGCAAATATTATTGATTATTTTTAAATTGGAAATACTCTAAAACAAATAGACATTAAAAATTGTAAGCAATACCAGTAAAAGCTTTAAAGATCTTACTCGCGTCATCGCACAAAGCTCCTGTATATCCCGCAGCACATGTACATTCATTGTTCTCACAGGTACCTCCGTTCAGACATGGGTCCATGCCCGAACAGTCAACTACAGAGAGGAAGAAAGAATATCCTTAAATTAATGATGACATTTTACTTTAACCGTTCACTTGAAATTGCGTGAATGACGACAATAAATATTGACATTAATACCAGGCAGTGTACACAATTTAAGAATGATATTATAGATATATTGACTGCTATGAGAAGCATAGCTGTTTCTATAAGCTCTAACGTCCCCGAGAGCCTATAGAAGCATCTATGCCTCTCATAGCAGTCAATATAGCTCAAAGTTGTAACTCGATTCCCGCCCTGTATATTAAACAATATATGCACTTAGTTTTGGGGTTAGAGGAACTTTAAATGCACGATATTGGCGTTTCATGGCTTAAATCATCGTTATCAATTAGTTTCCTTTACACCAAAAAATTACTTGACGTACACGTTAAATCCCGATTTAAGAATAGATTTCCATACCTGTACTACACGAAACTCCATTAAATCCTGCAGCACATGTACATGCATTGTTCTCACAGGTACCTCCATTCAGACACGGGTTGCTCCTAGAACAGTCGACTATACAGAAGGGATAGACGAGATATATTCAAAACAACAACGGCAAATATTACCTAATGAAATCAAATTCAATTGTTGGCCTTTAAGTGACACAAGGGTGACGTCAAAGCATTCTAACAGCAAACATGATACATAGAATCGCATCTGCTATTCATACCCTATCAAAATATGAAAGAAGAATTGGGGGGTAACCAGCTATTCTGAAGAGTTATAGCGGATTAAAAATGGCAATTTATGCATATGCGCGCGTGCGTCAATTTTGAGATTCAAGTTAACGAATGAGTTAAAGATACGTCAATAATGGCTAAAACTGATTTCAAATTGCTAAGAAGAGTATCAGCAACACAATACTAGAGAAAAATTGAACTAATATAGGCTATTCAGTACGGACGGCACAGGCAAAAAAACGCGCGCGCATACGTCCACGCATGCAAATTTTGTAAATGTTCAAAATGGTCTGAAACTTGAGTAAATTGGTCGATTAGGCATTTTGACCAATTTTAAACTTTGACGCATGCGTACGTGTCCGTTATGACGCGTGCACGGACATGGCTGTGATCAAAGCAAGGATCAAAGATTTATCCATGACGTCAAGTATATGTTTATACAAAATTATTCAGAAATGACAATGTATGATGCGAATATGTTCAATAGACTTTAACAAAATGGCGCCTAGATGACGTCACGCATCAGTAATACAAAAAAATCTCTTCGTTAGGATCAATATGACACATGTCAAGAAAATGTTATTGTCATTTATGAGTGAGAAATGAACAAAATCCATTCAGAAGAAAGGGGAATAAAAAGATTTCTGACGAAATCCATTCGTGCTCTCCTTCGCTGAATGACAGATCACCTAACTAGAACTTTTTCATGTGCCCCTACAGGGTTGATTCAAATTATTTTATTTCTCATGCAAAACATAGGACAATGAATAAGTATCACTGGCGTACCTATGGGGGGCAGGGGGGCAGAGTGCCCCCCTGACGGGCTCCAGGGGGAAAAAAGAAAAAGGGGAAAGAAAAGAAAAAAAAGGAAAGGAAAGAAAAAGAAAAAAAGAAAAGGGAAGAAAAAAAGGAGAGAAAGAGAAAAAAAGGAAAAAAAGGAAAAGGAAAGAAAAAAGGAAGAAGAAGAGAAAAGGAAAAAAAGGGAAAAGAAAAGGAAAGGAAAAAAATGGGGAAATTAAAAAAAAAAAGACCATGGCCGTACGCACCAGGGGGGGGGGGGGCAGTTGACCCCAGATATTTTGAAAACGTACAGTTTTTTTCCTGCAAATGTAGTGTAGGCCTATACCAAATCCTTCAATTCTACTTTTGAAAATGCAAAAGCACCCTCATGACCAGTTCGGTCGCTCGAACTCCCTTCACTCCTTTTGCTTTTGAGATTTTTCGAAAACTTTTAACGCATCTTTCCCCCCTCCCCCACCAGAAAAATATTCCGCATACGGCCCTGAAAAATTTAGACAAATGAAAATAGGAAAATATAAGTGATATAACAAATTCGAAACTCTTCGCTGGCGCGAACTGCTTGCTAGCCTATTTTGTATTAAATGTTTTCACTTGCCCGTCCCCCTGAAAAAAAGAAAAGGATTAGCATTGCCTAGAATACAATTGTGCCTGCCCCGACGGGCACCGACCTGCAACCATGGCAACAATAACACACAGTGTATGTACCAAATGTTACTAAAAGAGAGTAATTCATTTTTCTCGCTCGCTACACTTGCTCGCGAATAAAATGAATAGATATTGCTTTGGAAACAATTGTGCCCACCCTTGACCTGCAACAATATCATTAAAAATGGAAGAGTTTTTACGCCCTCTCGCCAAAAAGGAATTGAATCGCGTTAAACGCGATTGCGTCCATTCTGACCTGCACCAAAAAAAACTAGTTTATTTATTAATTTCTATTAAAAGAGAATTTTTTTTTTGCTTGCTCGCTATGCTCGCTCGCCAAAATGGAATTGACACCGCTAACGTGCCCGCCCCAACCTGCAACAACCAGTTAATAATTATGTACCAAACGTTATTCAAAGAAGTTTTGGTGTGCTCGTGCTCGCCAAAACGAATTAACATCACCTTGGACATGATTGTGTAAGCCCTGCCCTGCAACAAAAAAAATCTGAAATTTATGAACCAATTATCATTACAAAAATTTTGCTCGCTCGCTACGCTCGCTCGCCAAAATAGAAATAACACCGCTTTCAATAATCACGTCCGTGACATGGAACAATGAACCCAAGTTTATGTACCATATTTTCCCTATAAAAGAGAAGTGATTTTTTTGCTCGCTCGCTACGCTCGCTCGCCAAAATAGAAATAACACCGCTTTTAATAATCACGTCCCTGACATGGAACAATGAACCCAAGTTTATGTACCATATTTTCCCTACAAAAGAGAAGTGATTTTTTTGCTCGCTCGCTACGCTCGCTCGCCAAAATAGAAATAACACCGCTTTTAATAATCACGTCCCTGACATGGAACAATGAACCTAAGTTTTATGTACCGTATTTTCCCTATAAACGAGAAGTGATTTTTTTCGCTAGCTCGTGGAATTATGTGCGCACCACTAACCTGCTACAATATCATTAAAAAGAGAAATGTAGGGGGTTTGCCTTCCCGCCAAAATGGGATTGACATTGCCTTAAACACGATTGTGCCCGCCCCCGACCTGCAACAATGAAACAAATTTTATATAGCAATTCATTGAGAGAAAGATGTATTTAGGCTCGCTAGCTAAAATGGGTATGAAATCACCATAAACACAATATTGTTCCCGCGCCCTGCATGGGACAATTGAACCAAGTTTAAGTGGCAATTATTAAAAAAAGAGTGATTTTTTTCTTGCTCGCTACGCTCGTTTGCAAAAAAATGAAATTAACGTCGCTAACAAGTGAATGTTCCCACCCCAACTTGCAGCAATACCAGTTTACATACCAAACGTTACTTAAAGATTATTTTTTTGCTCGCTCGCTCGCCAGAAGTGAAAATTAGCATCGCCTTTTTTGTTTGTTTCTGTCGCTTGCCCCCCCTGACGGAGTACCCCAGGTACGCCACTGATAAGTATATTACAAAAATTATGCAATGAAACTACAAATATAATAGAAATAGCATGAGAAAAGAGGAACTAACTAGAAGTAGAGCTTGTTGAAGTGTTAGTTCCTCAGATGCTGTTTTACAATATAACATGAACAAAGTATACTTAGATGGAAAAAAAATAGAAATAATATGTAGCTAAGAAATTATGGATTTAGGGAGGGGGATAAAAGAGAGGGGAAAATGGAAGAAAATACTTAGTAGAAGGCAAACAAAACAGTAGAACGAGGGAGAAAGGAATTGAGTCGAGAGTCAAACGAACCGAATTCCAGAATGATTTAAGGATCTACAGAGAAGAGTAGACATACAAATATAGGAACTTTTACCAACTCAAGTAATATACGGGAATATTAACATGATGAAGGAATACTATAAAGAGGTATTTTATTTAAGTGCTTAAAATGTGTTATGTTTTATCTACCGTTTGAGTGCAAAAATAATAGTTTATTCACTTACCTATCATACATCGAGATCCACTGTAGCCATAGGAGCACAAGCAGAAGTAACGGTTGGGTATATTAATGCAGATGGCACCGTTCAAGCAAGGGTAACTAGCACACTCGTCGATATCTACAAGAACAGGTAAATTTAACCAGAGAAACAGTATATTACGAGGACATCGCTGGGTAGGGCTAGTTGGAGTCCAGTAATACAAAAGAATCTCTTCGATAGGATCAATCATGCAAATCATGAAAAATTCACTGTCATTAACCATATTATTCATGAGATATGAAGCGAACAAAATCCAAACAGAAAGGGGGTAAACAAAATTCATACCTGTACTACATAAAGCTCCTGTATACCCCGACGCACATGTACATGCATCGGTTTCACAGGTACCTCCGTTCAGACATGGGTTCCTACCAGAACAGTCCACTACAAAGAGGAGAGAAAATATCCTCTAATTTATGAGGAAAACTTACATTCATCTTTCACGTGGATGAAATATTAAAATAATATTTGGTAATTTACACACAATTTAAGATTAGTGTATTAAATATTGTCAGCTTACAAAGTAGGTAGGATTCTCTCATCTTTATACCACTCTTTTTTTCTGGTGGGGTGTGGGGGGGGGGGCGGCGGTGGTTGATATCAAAAATATTTGTTTCGAAATATATGAACATGTCCAATGTTTGATATCAGCGAGTCATGGCTTTAATCATCGTGATCATCGAGTGTAACCATTGATTTCCTTTAACTCAAAATTGTATTCGTCGTTAAGGATGAATCCCGATTTCACTTAGCCTATGTTACAATAGAATTCCATACCTGTACTACACAAAGCTCCATTCAATCCCGCAACACATGTACATGCATTATTTTCACAGGTACCTCCGTTCAGACATGGGTTGGTACCTAAACAGTTAACTACAGAGAGGAAAGAAAATATACTTAAATCAGTAACAAACTTTACATTCACCGATCGTTAAAATACGAAAATAATATTAGGTTAATATAAATACAATTTGAGAATGGCATATTAAACATTAATAGATTCCAAAGTAGGTAGGCTTTCCCAAATCTGTATACCACTCTTTTTATGGGGGGTGAAAGTTAGAATGTTGATATCGAAATATATATTTTTAAAAAAGGGTTAAATACACGATATGAGAGTATCATGACTTATATCTATTCATTATCGTAAACATAAAGAAACCATTTATTTCCATTAAAACAAAAATACTATTTTACGTGTACGATGAATCCCTATTGCACTTAACGTATATTACAATAGAGTTCATGATAAACTGTATTACACAAATGTTTATCAAATTTCATAGCTTATGTACTTGTTTTCACATTATGCATAGCTTACGGTGGGGTGGGGTTTCCAGTCCATCCAATATGTTGCCGACCCGTTTCTCAGGGTAGCGATTTGTGTTCAATCATTCATTTGTTTCTCTCTATCGCTCTCTCCTTTCTTCTCTTCTTTTATTTGGCCTTAAATTTATTTTCTCTTTCTGTTCTGCTCTTTTCTTCCGTAACTCTCTCTGACCCCAACCCTTTTATTGTTTGCAGCCAAAAATGGGCTGCGGGGCCGATTCGGGCCAACCTAGATCCGACAGTAAAATGATATGCTTTTCATACCTCTGTCACACAAAGATCCAGTAAATACCGCAGCACATGTACATGCATCGATATCACAGGTACCTCCATTAGAACATGGGTCGCTAACAGAACAGTCAACTACAAAGAGGAGGGAGATCATACCAAACAAAACATGTACATTTAGAAAGAAAATAATAAGTGACTATCTGTGAGAACAGTCACGCTTTGTAAAAAATCTTATATTAAGAATAACAGATAGTAACTTGTATTGTGACATCATCAAACAACAGAGAAGAATCCATGATTTGCTTTACCTCGTTTTTAAGCGGAGGCAGTAGTGATGGGAATAGGGTCGGTTATTACAACATTTTACAGAATAGTGTCAATAGATAACTTTGAGAGTTGGTATGTATTATGTAATGAGACCAAGTATAAGGTATGCAAAGGCATTGATTATTACTATTAGTAGTATTGTAACCACATTTCACATTATAGAGATATAGTTTAATTTGTTTGTATTCAGGTTTATGATTACACGTATTAATTATGTCATATACATTTATGTATGTTCTTTGTTAGTATCATTATCGCCTATTTTCTATTACAAATATATATGATTTTAAATATGGCCGGTAACAGGTGTCTTCTGAAGAAATAGGATATTCCAATACGATGATAACTTTCATTGGAAGCAAGAAAAAAACTGCCGGAAAAGATTTTCAGAGTATTAATGTAAAGTAAGACGCTGGCCAAACGTCACAGTCGTAGTAAGTCAGAGTTCTAGGAATAACCGCTGAAAAGGAAGCCTTATGCATAAGAAGGTAAATGGAAAGGATGAATGGGAAGAAAGGTAAACAACAAACCGTCAGATATTTCCAAGAATAGTTTGCATTAATAGTAATATATATATAATATAATGATTTATTCAACCTGTGAATTATTTAGTAAGATCCCAGCCCACAGGGTTGCCCTATATTTCCTAATACAAATATATATGATTTTAATGTTTGGCTTGTAACATGTGTCTTCTGAAGAGGTAGGACATTTCAAAACAACGATAACTTTAATTGGAAGGAAGAATACATTTCCGGCAAAGATTTTCAGAGTACAAGTATTAATGTAGAGTTAGACGCTGGTCAAACATCACAGACGTAGTGAGTCAGAATACATGTACTATATTCAATTCTCTCGGTAAATACAACAAAGGTGTTCTAGAAAACAATCTGATAGTCCTGGGGACCCGTTGCATAAAACTTACAACTTTGCCATCAATGGCAACTACTGTGGTAACAGGGCTCAACAGCCAATCAAAATCAAGGTTTCTATGGTAGTTACCATTGATGGCAAAGTTACCATCAATGGTAAGTTTTATGCGACGGGTCCTGTGATTCCCTTTGGACAAATTGGAATCAGTGTAAATTTGTAAAAACCGACGAGAAGTTGTAAGTACACATTGTGCACTTTATTTATGGCTATAAGTTATGTATTATGATTGCGTTATGATAAATGTAGAATTCATTTTCGATGTGCTAAATACAAGTATAAAAGTATATTTTTACTGAAACTGTTTGATTGTGTTTGAGGTGATACCATATTTACAATTATTAATAAGCTAAAGACATAACTGAGGATCTACTTTAGTCATTGAATTATGTTAATCTTCTAATTAAGTCTTATTTGTTTGTAATTCGTTTATATATCCTTTTGTAAACCTTGTCTAGAATGGATTAAATTATCTGTGTGCATTAGTGAGAACACAGACACAAACAATTTGTTATTATTTGCAATACATTTCCAAAATGGTCAATGTAATTTTAAACAAAAATGATAAAATCCTAAAAGATCTTACTGGCGGCACTGCACACAGATCCCCTAAAGCCCGCTGCACATGTACATGCATTGTTCTCACAGGTACCTCCGTTCAGACATGGGTTGCTACCAGTACAGTCAACTACAAAGAAGAGAGAAAATGTCCTAACATTCAATGACGAATCTTTCCATTCACTGTTCACGTGGAAACGCGAAATGCATGCATGACAAAAATACATTAATCATTATTGTCATATCAGCCAGTCAGGTTAATTAGTCTTTGTTAGGGTACTCCGGAAGCAAGAGATTACTGAACTAAAGACATAACTGAGGATCTACTCTTATTCATTGAATTATGTTAATCTTCTTTTTTTTTCTTATATGTTTGTAATCAATTTATATATTAATTTGTCAACCTTGTCTAAAATGGATTACATTAAGGTGTATTTAACCCAAGTATCTGTGTGCATTAGTGAGATCATAGACACAGACAATATGTTTTCATTTGCAATACTCTAATACGAATAGACATTTCAAAAGCGATCAATGTATTTTTTAAAACAAAAATGATAACATTTTAAAAGATCTTACTGGCATCACTGCACAGAGATCCTTGATAACCATATGCACATGTACATGCAGCGTTTTCACAGGTACCTCCGTTCTCACATGGGTTGTAACCAGTACAGTCAACTACAAAAAGGAGAGAAAATATCCTAACATTTAATGACGATTTCTGTTTTTTTAAGGGGGCGGTGGAGGCTTTCACTGTATACGTTGCAAATGCTTTGTAACATATGTCATCTAAAAAGTAAAGACAACGATAACTTTCATTGGAAGGAGGAAGACTTCCGGAAAAGATATTCAGAGTACATGAATTGATGTAAAGTTAGACGTTGGCTAAACATCACAGTCGCAGTGAGTCAGAATACATGTACTATATTCAATTCTCTCGGTGAATACAACAAAGGTGTTCTAGAAAACAATCTGATAGTCCTGGGGACCCGTTGCATAAAACTTACAACTTTGCCATCAATGGCAACTACCGTGGTAACAGGGCTCAACAGCCAATCAAAATCAAGGTTTCTATGGTAGTTACCATTGATGGCAAAGTTACCATCAATGGTAAGTTTTTTGCGACGGGTCCTGTGACTCTCTTTGGACAAATTGGAATCAGTGTAAATCTGTCAGACCGACGAGAAGTTTTGAGTACACATTAAGTATCTTGCATATGACTATAAGTTATGTATTATGATTGCGTTATGATAAACGTAGAATGAATGTGGATGTGCTATTATACAAGTGTATTAGTATATTTTTACTGAAATGACTTGAGTGTCTTTGAGGTGATACCATATTTACGATTATTAATAAACTAAAGACATAACCGAGGATCTACTTTAGTCATTGACTTATGTTAATCTTCTATTTAAGTCTTTTATGTTTGTAATTCGTTTATATATTCTTTTATAACCCTTGTCTAGAATAGGTTACATTGGTGAAGGTGTTTTTAACCTAATAATCTGTGTGCATTAGTGAGATCACAGACACAGACAATTATATTTGTATTTGCATTACTCTAATGCGTATAATTATGTAATAGACATTTCAAAGGTGGTAAATGTATTTTTAAATAAAAATAATAAAATCCTAAAAGATCTTACTGGCGTCATTGCACAAAGATCCTCTAAAACCCGATTGACATATACATGCAGCGTTATCACAGGTACCTCCGTTCAGACATGGGTTGATACCAGAACAGTCAACTACAAAGAGGAGAGAAAATATCCTAAAAATTGAATGCAAATCTTTCCATTCACTGTTCACGTGGAAATGCGAAATGCATGAATGACAGAAATACATTAATCATTATTGTCATATCAGCCAGTCAGGTGAAGTATTAGTCTTTCTTAGGATACTCCGAAAGCAAGAGATTACTGAACTAAAGACATAACTGAGGATCTACACTTAGTCATTGAATTATGTTAATCTTCTATTTAAGTCTTATATGTTTGTAATTAATTAATGTATTATTTTGTCAACCTTGTCTAGAATTGATTACAATAAAGAAGGTGTATTTAACCCGAGTATATGTGTGCATTAGTGAGATCACAGACACAGACAATATGTTTTCATTTGCTATACTCTAATACGAATAGACATTTCAAAAGCGATC